CATAACTGAATGAGCATGCTGCTTCCACAGAGAAATCAATTTTTCTTCAGTTGAACTTATTCTTGTTCTCTTCTATGGCGGAGAGAGAAGCTAGGTTCCTCTGGCCACTGCAGCCACTCCTGAGCTATGGTATCAATTTCTGGACCATATTAATCACTCCATAAACCAAGGCAGCACCAGCTGAATGAGTTGTGGCCTGAAAACAAAACCCCAAGCTTTAGCCCACATAATTCTATGAAATATCGGAAAGGAGGCACACCGGAAGTATGGTTCCCCAAGCACGCAGGATCTCCCGTGCAGTATCCTGTGGTCTGCAGCTCCATGAAACTCAGAAATAGCTTACCTTGTTCTCCCCACCTCCAACTCCACCCAGTGGTAGACTGGAGCTCTGGCCTCAGCAGTTCTCGGTCACACAAAAGGTTATGTCGGCCACCAAGCCTAAATTCAATCCCTGGTACTCTTATGGTGGAAAGAGAGAACCAACTCATGTAAATTGTCCTCCGACCTCCACACGCGTACTATGTCAGATACATATACAAATAAATGTTAAGGCCGGGCGGTGGTGGCGCACGCCTTTAATCCCAGCACTCAGAGGCAGAAGCAGGAGGATCTCTGTGAGTTCGAGGCCAGCCTGGTCTACAGAGCGAGTGCCAGGACAGGCTCCAAAGCTACAGAGAAAACTTGTCTCGAAAAAAACAAATAAATGTTAAAAATGGGGGGGGGGGTGGCAGAGTTAATAGTGCTGGCTGCTCTTGCAGAGGACCCAAGTTTGATTCCCAGCCTCCACATGGTGGCTCACAGTCCTAGGTGATGAATGCACTTATTTAGAGAACAGACATACACGCAGGCAAAACATCTGTACTCATAAAATAAAATAATCTTTAAAAATATTTTAATGAATATTTTTTAAAATGTAAAGGTCCTTAAGGAAGTTGGCATACGCAACCAATAGGAAACCGGGGGCATTGGTCCCTGACACACCAAAGTAGAGAAGGGCTATTCTAAAGACTTTTAGGGGTGTCTTTTCTCTAATGGGTTGACCCCAAATCACAGAGGTCCACGAAAGTTCTTGAAGAATCATCAGCACGAACGTAATCAGTGTGGACTAAAGGAAGGAGACATGTACAGTGAGCCTTTGGGCCCCCGGGGTTGTACAGAAGTGTGTGCGAGCTATACATGTGGAGGTCAGCAGGACAGCTTGGAGAGTCTGGCCCTTTGTGTAGCAGTCTTCTTGTTTCTCTCTTTCTTCTCAGTAAAATAAAGCAAGCAACACCTTAAGCCTTCCACTGGGAAACCTCGTCAGGCCATGGGCTGCAGTGGGCCCCCTTCAGCTTCCCACTGGGAGCAACAGAGCTAAACTATGCGTTATTCTGCAATTCTCAATAGCAAATCATTTCGTTCCTTCTGAGCTCTCTCCCACATCCGGCATTCTCAAAGTGCCTCTGTCTGGAGAGCTTTTACCTTTGGCTACCACACTCCTCAGAATGCACAGTGTCTACATTTTCAGAGGTCTGCTACCAGCAACCCTGATGTGGGAAGGTCATATGTCAATCTGTTGATTTCATTGGTTAATAAAGAAACTGCCTTGGCCCATTTGATAGGCCAGCCCTTAGGTGGGTGTAGTAGACTGAACAGAATGCTGGGAAGAAGGAAAGTGAGCTCAGACACCATGCTGCTCCTATGGAGCCAGCCACCAGGACAGACATGTTGAATCTTTCCCGGTAAGCCACCTCGTGGTGCTATACAGATTATTAGAAATGGATTAATCAAGATGTGAGAACTAGCCAATAAGAGGCTAGAACTAATGGGCCAAGCAGTGTTTATATGAATACAATTTGTGTGTTGTTATTTTGGGGCATAAGCTAGCCAGTGGCTGGGAGCTGGGTGGCAGGAATGCAGCCCGCTGTTCCTTCTATACAACCCCTGATGGACCTCTCTGCATGCTGTGAATATGTTTCATTATCATTGGTTAATAAAGAAGTTGATTTGACCAATGGCCAGGCAGAGCAGAGACAGGTGGGAACTCCAAACAGAGATACAGGGAGAAAAGGGCAGAATCAGGAAGATGCCAGTAGCCACAGGGGAAGCAAGATGTGAGGTAACAATCACAAGCCTCATGGCAAAAATATAGAATAATAGAAATGGATTAAGTTGTAAGAGCTAGTTAATAATAAGCCTGAGCCGGGCGGTGGTGGCACACGCCTTTAATCCCAGCACTCGGGAGGCAGAGGCAGGCGGATCTCTGTGAGTTCGAGGCCAGCCTGGTCTACAAGAGCTAGTTCCAGGACAGGAACCAAAAGCTACGGAGAAACCCTATCTCAAAAAATCAAAAAAAAATAATAATAATAATAAGCCTGAGCTAATATGCTGAACAGTTTGTAATTAATATTAAGCCTCAGAGTGGTTATTCAGGGACTGGCGGGAAGGAGGGAAACCTTCAGTTACAACTCCATCTAGCCTCATAGCTATATTGGGTACCTACTGATGCAGGGGTAGCTACTGATACAAACATCAAAACAAAACTGTCTCGACCTCAGGATTGGGAACAGTTAAGTGTGGATTCTCAGTCTTCTGGGGATTGGAAGCCTGGGGTACTGAGCTGGGTCTTAGCTGATTGTGCCTCTGGGGGTGTCATCAGGACACCATCATCTTCACGGCGACTGGGAAGGGCCCATTTTCTGTCCAGTCTGGGAGGCTGCTGCTGGCCGGAGGCAACAGCTCCTCGCTGTGTCCACAGAGCCTGTCATAGCATGTGTGTGTTTTCAAGGGGGCAAGCAGGGCACAGGTTCACCCTTTGGTGATGTGGTTTTGAAAGTGGTATCCCGTCATTCAGGTCATTCTATGTTTCTGAAATAAAGAGCTCTAACAGGGCAGACAGCCTTGAGACCGAGGTCACCACAGGGAAAAAGTGCTGGGAAGAGGTGTCACTGGGGCAAGATGACATAGTGCTACCATGAGGTGGTTACCAAGGCCGACTATATGCACTGTCACACTGGAGAAGGAGTGGGTATTTCTCAGAAGAGGAGCGATGTCATTTTAAACCCCCAAAAGAATTCCCTACACCACTGCAGCCCTAAATGCACACAGAGAAGCTGCAGTGTGCTGGCCAGAAGCAGCCCCGCCTGGTCCCAGAGGGGAAGGAGCGCTCACTGCCTTCCTCTTTCCCACTTCCCATTCCTCCGACTGACGCCCCCGCCACTTAGGGGACTTACTCTTTGGTTGCACAGGGCAGGGCAACAGGGTCAAGCCCTGGGAAGATCATTTCATCCCAGCCCAAGATGCCTGGCCTGGGAACTGCACCTGCAAGAGCTAAGCACCCTGACGACCCCTTGCAAATTCACTTTGGAGTCGGTTAGTCGGTTAGCTCCCTGCCACCGAAGAGACAGAGGCCTTATGCCTGACATACAGATGTTAGAAATACATGAAGGAAAATCCTGGGGTGTACCTTTAACTGTGTGTGTATAATCTTGTATATATGCCTTTAAGTGTGTGTGTCCTAGAAAGTTGCTTCCTCCGTACTCCTGAACACACTCCTAAGGGCGGAGGAGTTGGCCTCACACCCTGCTCCTTCATTTGGTCCACCGGCCAGCCAGGAAGAGCCCTGGACTCTCATCTGGAAACTTGGATCTGGCTGGGGGTATCTGAGGTCATTCCAGAAGTCCAACAGCAGAAAAGGCTGGCTGGGAACGTTTTACTGGCTCAAGGCCTGATATTTGTAAGGACTGGGACACGGGGATATACAAGCAATCTTGAAGGCCTCAGCACAAGCCGATGGAGAGTTGGAAGGGGCCACCCAGCTTCTAGTCCTAGGGCCAGTCCCCTAGGCTGGGGACTTCATTCTCTGCAGAGCCCCTGATCAGTGCATGGAGAATCTTAGATTCCCTCTGCTCCAGGAGCAGGCTGGCTTTGACTAGTGCTGATCAAATCACTCCCATTGTTCCCCCATACTCCTCCTCATCCCTGAAACAGGGGGGGCCAGCAAGGGTGTGTGTGTGTGTGTGTGTGTGTGTGTGTGTGTGTGTGTCGTGTGATGGGTTGTATAAAGTGAGGCTCCTGAGCCAACCTGCCTCAGACGGGGAGGAAGAGTGAAGGCAGGACAGCCTAGACAGCTGGCCCTCTCTAGGCGAATCTGTAGCTGGGTTCTCAAACATGCTCTTTACATTAACCTTCTATTAAGTATCACATATCATATAAACAGAAGTGAACAGATCCTGTCACATCACTAGTCCACCTACTTCCCTTCCACAGGGTTAACTCTTTCAGGTCACAGGAAGGCTACAGCTTGCTGGTTTGTTTTAGAAGTGTATTCAAATAGGTGTGGCCTTAGATTTGAACCTAGGCTGCAGCTAGGGAGAACTTCTTCACCTGTGCAGACACACATTCCAGAGGGCAGATTTTAAATGCTCACCACTACTAAACTGATGTGTTAAAGAGCTCCTGTCACAGGAAAATGACACAAAAAGACCCTCACATGACCACCCACATCCAGCTATTCAGGTATGCAATCAAAAAAGTATGAATCTAGAAAACAAGAAAAAAAAAAAAACACATAAACAAGCCCTTGGCTCCTGGCAGCACTTCCGCAGAAATACACCAGGAGATGGGGCGCTGTTCCTTCCTCGCAAACTTTTGTTTCCTGGAAAATAACTCAAAGACAAGGTATGTGAAAACTTTAGGACTTAGAGACTGGGGAGATGGCTCAATAGGAAAATCACTTGTTGTCCAAGCCTGAGGACCCGAGTTCAAATCCCAGCCTGTACTGTAATCTCGGTACTCCTTTAACAAGATGTGCCCAGGAGACAGAAGAATCCGGAAGTCAGAGAGCAAAAAACAGACACCCTGTTTCAAGGGGGAACGGGAGGACCAAAACCTGGTTGTCCCCTTACATACATGTGCCCACACACATATGTACCAGCTTCACACACATACAATAAAAATAAAACGCTAAAAAATAAAGTTTTATGGATTATAGGTTTACACAGACACTAGAAAGACACATGTTAAAAATTACCAACTTCTAATTTTATTTCCAATGCAGGGACGTAGAAACCAACTAAATGTCAATTACAAGGCAGGGCTGAGCTATCTTTGTGTGTGGGCACAGTTGTCCCCCATACAGTATCCCCTTTCAAACCAACCCGGCATAAGTCATAACTATATTTAGGAATTCATGTTGAGGAAAATCTTACTGTTGGATTCAAGGCTGTAAAAAGGCGAGAGCAAACCCTCCTGCAACTGAAGAAAACCTGTCTTTAGTGCAGACTCCCAGCCAATCCAAAGCTCACAAGTTGCTATTTACAAAATTAGACGGAGGTGGGGGAGGGAGTTCAGAAACAAGTTGATTGAAGAACGGGGCTGTAAAATCTCTTTACAGAAAAATGCAATTTTTGGTTTCTTCTTATAGCACAGTCGGAGGTCAAAGGAGGGGGGAGTTGAAAAGTTTTTTGCCAAACATTGAAGAAAGACACGTAGGCAGATTGAAGCACCTTTGGGATGAAATATAGAAGCAGCCACTTGTTTACGGTTCGGAAGCGTTTTTGGAAAAGGCTCTGAACCGGTCGACCACAAGGCACTAGCCAATGAACCTCTCGGCCGGCCACATCTCCAGGGCGTTAGGGATGCGGGGTGCCTGCTGCTCCGGCGGGGCCAAGGCCTCCATCTCGCGTACCACTTGCGTGAACACGCGGTCCACCATCATCTTGCTCTTGGCCGTGACCTCCAGGAAGGGGCATCGCCACTCTCGGGCCAGCGCGCGGCCCTGCGCCGTCAGTACCTGGCGCTCGGCGTCCAGGTCGGCCTTGGTGCCCACCAGCACCAGAGGGACGGCGCGAGAGCCCCGCAGCCGGCCCATGCGCTCGCGCAGCGGCCGCACGGCCTGGAACGAGGCCTCGCTGCATACGCTGTAGAGCACCACGAAGCCGTCGCTGTTCCTGATGTACAGGTCCTTGAGGGTGACCAGGTGCTCGGCGCCCACCGTGTCCACGATCTCCAGCAGCGCGGGAGTACGGTTCACCTCGATCACCTTGCTGAACAGCTCCTCCACCGACGGCTCGCAGCGCTCGGGGAAGCGGCCGGACGCGAACTGCGTGGCCAGCGCCGTCTTGCCCACCGCCACGCTGCCGAGCAGCACCACCCGGTAGCACTTGGCCGGGCGCAGCAGCAGACCCTCCATGGCCGGGACGAGGGGACTCAGGGAATGGCGCTGGGAGGCGGCGCGGGGAGGACGGGAGGGCGGGGCGCGAGGCCGAGGGCGCGCGCACGTCCCCGTGGCGCCCTAGAGGAGAGACCCACCCGCCGCCCCTCCGCCGCCGACGGTCACGGGTCTCGTTCCCGCGTGTCTCTTCGCCTCAGCCCCAGCCTCGCGACTCCGCTCTCCACCACCGCTCACTGTCCCAGCTGCAGCCTGGCCCACCAGCCCCTCCTCCGGGCCTCCTCTCTCCCGTGGATCCCCCGGAGCTTCCCAGCCCAGGGCTTCCCTCCCACTCCCCGCCCGAAGACCAGCTGGGGCCTCTCAGTCAGCCCTAGGCTGGCTATCCCGACGGGGAGCCCCTCCACTGACAGACCAGAAGGTAACCTGATCCCTTCCTGGCCAACCCAAGAAAGACACGGATTTCCGCAGCATTCCAGACGCAGAAGGGCCCACTCAAGGTCACGCTGCTCCCACCCGCTGGCCCCCCAGCCTAGGTGGACCCCGTGCTCAAGGGCAGATGAAGGAGAAGCCTGTCAGAGAGGTTCTCAATTCCCTCTTGGGCGTTGTGACCGCTCACCGTGGACTCTTCTGCCTGAACTCTGCACACTGTAAACCACACAGGCTCGCCCACTGAGCCCCTGGTGAAGACTCCTCACCTAGGCCTAAGACTGGAGGGACCCGGTAACTTGCCATCCAGACAAGTGTGTCCCTCTGGGGAAATGAGAATTCGCCCAAGAGCAAGCAGAACCTGGGTAGCCCCAGGCAAAGCCCATCTCCACCTTCTGAGACCCCTTGTACTCCTGACTACTCACTGGCTGCTGAGGAACAGCTCTGGCATTGTTTCCCTGAGTGAACTCCGTTCTGCCTCCTGCAACACAGCTGCCTTGCACTCTGGGGAAATTGAAGTGGTCTGCCAGAGGAACGTGCTTTTCTATACGCTGAGCGGGAACATCCTCCACATACAGAGATTTCCAAAAAGAGAGGTCTTACAAGGCATTCTGGGGCAGCAAATAGGAATAGTAGAAACTAACACGAAAAGTAAGTAACTAAACATTCCCTGAAACATTCACACCCCGTCCAGATTCGATAGCTTCCTGCAGATAAGTTCTGAAGGAACACAGAGCAATTTACAGTCTCAAATGTCACAAAACAGGCAAAGAAACCCCAAATCTGTGATGTTGGCATTATCCGGCACAAAATAACAACAGTTTTTATCTTAAGAAATAAAAAATGTAACAAGAATTTACAGGAGGGGGCTGGAGAGATGGCTCAGCGGTTAAGAGCATTGCCTGCTCTTCCAAAGGTCCTGAGTTCAATACCCAGCAACCACATGGTGGCTCACAACCATCTGTAATGAGATCTGATGCCCTCTTCTGGCCTGCAGGCATACACACAGACAGAATATTGTATACATAATTAATAAATAAATAATTAAAAAAAAAAGAATTTACAGGAGGCTAATTTGAGGAATAGTCTACCAGGAACACTGTAGAGTGAAAGCCAAGCTCTTGTTTTAGTATGTAGGCTGACAGGAATAATATTGTGATAGAAGAATACCTACCTGGGGCTCTTTGCCTCGAAGGGGTCTGAAAGCTGGGGTTTAGGAGACACGGAGCACATTTTCCAAGGAACCGACATTTGTGGGCTCACCACCACCGCCAAATGAGAACCCAAAAGGGCTCTTAGTCCAGTTCCCCAGTTTCCACCTTTGAGCACCAGAGCCACCGAGATGAGCACCAGAGACCACTGACCAAGGTCCCAGGATCTAGCCTGCTGTTTCCAGCCACCCTCTCCCGCACCACTCAGCCGAATGTGTGTAACTGCTCATGACCTTGGAGGTGCTTGAGTCTGTAGTGCGAAGGTTAACAGAAAGCAGGGGGACCCCATGTGCGTATCTATGAGGAAACTGCCATCCATGCTGGGGTGGCTTTAGGGTCACCCACATTCTAAGTAGCCCCTCACCTAGGCTCTGTAAATGAACCAAAAGAACCCATTGGTTCCCCAAATTGAACTTTGGTGGAATCCTTTAGTTTGTTGTTAGTGCCCTGTAAGGAAGGAGTAGAAGGCAGCATTCCTGAAACCCAACTGTGGCTGAAGTGCATAAATAGAAAAGTGAAAGAAGTTTACAGTTGAGCCTGGTTCCCAAGAGGGACCAAGCCCTTGACGCTGCTAAGTGCAGGGCCCAGAGGGCTGTGTTGGAAGCGGCACTCCCCTTAATCCGCACTTGACCTTGCCTTCCCGTCTTGCCTGACTGGAGAGGGGCTGGTTGCTCAGGGACAATCTATGAACAGAAGGTTGGGCGTTCCAGTGCCATGTTGAAGTTTGGGGTGGTCAGAGGGCTGGGGGGCTGAGCCATGTCAGTGGCCACTGACTTATTAATCAAGGCTGTGTAATAAACATCTTATCCGAAGGGGTTTGGAGAGCTTTGGGGCTGATGTAAGAAGGCAGATGGGACTGAATCCCCTGCACTAAGGACCCTCCCAGGTCTAACCCTATGCACCTCCCCATCAGTTCATCTGTCTCCTCTGTGATAGGCAGGTAACTGCATGGGGAGTGCAGCCCTGAGTCACATGAGCCTTGAGAGTGTATTTATGGATGTGTGGGAGCTCGGGTTGACCGCTAGTTCTGAACTGGAGGCAATACTGTGGGACTGGGTCCTGTTTGTAAACTCAGCAATCTCAGTGCCCAGTGTCAGAATTAAATAACAGCTCCTGCCTCATCAGTGTGTGGGAAGTTGGTGGGTGAAAACACCCACACTTGCTGTCGGGAATGGTGTGAGCAGCATTTTTTTTAACAGGTTTTGCGGTCACTTGAGCGAACTGAAGAGATAACACGTCCCTTGAAGTTATGGGTGATTCTGGGGCTGGTTTCCGTCAGTAGCTGCCTCATACTGTGGGAGGAAGGGAAGACCCTTCCTGCAGCAGGAAGGCTTTCATGTGGCCATAGAATGTCTTGAATTGGCAGGTGTCTGGCTTAAGGGTTTGTTGTTTGTGGGTCTTTGAAAACCACTGATAAAAGCCAGCCAGCCTCAGTCACTCTTATTACTATTGCTGCAGTGGTCATTTATTACTTATTACTGATGAAACTGAGACCCCCACCGTAAAGACACAGTCTTCACCCTGCAAACCCGCCTTAATCCACCTGGCACGCCAACTACACCTATATAGAAGACCAAGGCTCACCCTCAGAGCCTTCCCTCAACACCAACAAAGTAGACTTCACAGTGCAGCAGAGGCACGTGCAGGCTGTTCCTGGAACCCTGCCCTGCCCTTCTGCTCTCTAGAGGGCCTGGCCCTTCTAATCTGGGTTCCCTGAATCCACAGCATGGAGCCTGTGCTGGGGACAAGTCATTGGTGTTTAGAAACAGGCTTGGGGACCAGGAATAGGGACCCTGGACAAGTCAGGGGATGACACAGAGAATCTCGTGCCAGCATGCATGCTGAGTTGGGCACTAGAGTAAAATGTACCTTAAAATTGTCCACTGCACACTCAGACAAGGAACACACTCACCTACAGCATCCACGTACAGTCTACTCATGAAAGGAGCTGCAGAATGTCTGGACAGTGGCTGTGGAGAAACTGGACTGGAGTACCCAGCCACACCTGCACAGCTGGCTGCCCCTAAAGGGCCCAAGAGTGTATACAGTACATAGGTGGATAAAATGGCAGTGGGGCTGGAGAGATGGCTCAGTGGTTAAGAGCATTGCCTGCTCTTCCAAAGGTCCTGAGTTCAATTCCCAGCAACCACATGGTGGCTCACAACCATCTGTAATGAGGTCTAGTGCCCTCTTCTGGCCTTCAGGCATACACGCAGAAAGAATATTGCATACATAATAAATAAATTAATTAATTAATTTAAAAAAATGGCAGAGTCGGTGTTTGTGGTTTGAACCCCATCGCTGGGGGTATGCGGAAACCTGTAGACAGTGATGAGTGCTGTGATGGTCAATGTCACTTGTCAGTTTGTTGAGACTTAGAAGCTCCTGGGAGCTGGGCGGTGGTGGCGCACACCTTTAATCCCAGCACTCAGGAGGCAGAGGCAGGCGGCTCTCTGGGAGTTCGAGGTTAGCCTGGTCTACAGAGCTAGTTCCAGGACAGGCTCCAAAACCACAGAGAACCCTATCTCAAAAAACCAAGAAAAAAAAAAGGAAGAAGAAAAGGAGGAGGAAGAGGAGGAGGAAAAAGAAGCAACATCTCGTGGCAGCTCCTGGGCCTTTAGGTATGGTTGCCATGGACTGAACTCCTGGACTGTATAGCAGGAGACAGTGACACCTCTCTCTGCTTCCTGACTGAGAAAGTGAGGTGACCAGCTGCCCTAGGATCCTTCTGCTGTGACTTCCCCAACATGACTGACTCCAGCGCTCAGAAACTGTGAGTCAATAAGCCTCTTGTCCCCTGTAGTGCATTGTCAGGGCACTTCACAGAAACTATAGTGATATTTTATTTATGTTTTAATAAATAAAGCTTGTCTGAAGATCAGAGTACAGAGCTAAGACACAAGAGGCCAGGGAGTGATGGCAGACTCCTTTAATCCCAGGACTCAAGGTCACCCTGGACTACAAATAAGTCTAAAAGGAGAAATAGAACTCATGCAAAGGTGATCCCAGCACTCACACGCCTTTAATCCCAGGACTAGGGAGGTGGAGACAGGAGTGATATGACTGGGTGTAGAGAGGTATGTAAGGAGACAAGAGTACATAGCAGTCTGAGGTTTGATGGAGACAGATGGGAGATGCAGTCTGAGGACAGGACTGCCCCTTTGTTCTGAGCGTTGGTAGAGGTAAGAACTCTCGAGTGTCTGGTTTTCTGCTTCTCTGATCTTCAGCACTGACCCCTATAGGTGTGTGATGCCAGGCCTGGTGCACATTTGTGAATTCTCAACCGTTTTAAGTTTGTTCTTGCCTGCAACGTGGAGAAAACTATCTCACAGAGCCTTTCTGTGTGGAGAGGTTGGCCGTCTGGATGGGAGCCCAAGTGAGGCCAGTTTGTGGCGCGCAAGTGAAGTCTTGAGTGAAGGCAACATGCCACAGGAATGCCAGCTTCTGAACTGGGCCGGGCCTGCAGGCCATCAACATATGACACGGGGTTGCAGCTAGGCAGCCGCTACCAATGAGACACACATTTTGTACCCACAGATGCAAAAGGAGTGAGACCCTGAACTCAAATCCCCAGTATCTGTAAGGGCTGAGTGTGGCTGTGTGTGTCTGGGACCCCAGTGCTGAGGGCAGAGACAGCTGAATGCTGGGAACGGCCAGTCGC